CCCCCAGCCCCTCCTCCCTAGAGTTAATTGAGGGGAGCCCTTACTCCCTTAGATCCAGGAATCCAGGCCTTGAGCTCCCTCCTTCTTTAGACAGGGGTCCTGCCACCCCCTCCACCCCTCAGGAGTCCAGATCAACCCCCCAGCCCTCTCCTTCAGACTTGAAAGTACACACACACACACACACACACACACACACCCCTTCCTCCTCCGGACCCGGGCAATCCTGACCCCCAGACACCCTCCGTTGGGTGTTCGAGTCCAGGCCCCTAGCCCTCCGCTCTCAGACCCCGACCGGGCTCCGCGCGCCCCTCCGCACCTGCCCCGTCCGGCTCCGTCCGACCCCGCTCCGCTCCCGGTTCTGTCCGGGCCTCGGCCCCTCCTCCCTGCTCCCTCCCGGCCGCCCCGCCCCCGCATACCTGAGCCTCCACCTGGCACCGCCCCGCCGCCACGGCGGCCCGGGGTGCGGCCGCCCGGGGACGTGAGGGGGCAGGGCCTGCTTCGGGGAGCCTGATACATGCCCCCTGTCCCCATCTGAACGCCGTCGGACACGACAGCCCGCACGTGAGGTCACCTGCGCTCTGTCATGGTTGAAAAGTTGGGTGTTCCAAGCCCCTTGGGCGACTGGGGGGACGGGGGAGGCTGCCTTCGCATTGACCCGGGGAGGAGGAGGAGGAGGAAGCTCATCCGGAATGAAGCTAAACTCCTGGGTGGTGATTACGACGCCGAGGGAGGGACCGGGGTTTGAGCCCCCCCGGCCTGCTACTCACCTTCGGACCAGGGTCAGCCCTTGCCCTACCTAGGCCAACAGCCCGGGTCCAGGGCTGCCGCCCGCGCCGGCGCCCTCCTCTTCCCCCTGGAAGGTACCCTGATATGGAAACAATGAATGTACGGTTCACAGAAAGGTTGCAGGTTCGAACCCGTCCAGGGCCTGTGCCTCAGCAGAAAGGCCCGGCGCTCTGCTTCCGTAGAGACGGCAGCCAAGAACAAGAGCACTCCGCTGGCCAGGTCCGGCTCTCACCTGTGGGGTCTCCGGGAGGCAGAATCCGATACAGAGTCCACACATTGCGCTTTGTTTCTGGGTCCCTCCCTACTACACCCCCCCCCCAACACACACACACTCCTTGATGACTGGTCTCTGGGCTTGCCAAACAGGTAATGATCACCTGTGTTGGAGATTTTGAGTCCGACCCCAGGTGCCTAGGCACAATTGCCTGGTTGTCTACTTCTGCCATGAGATCGCCCGCTATTAAAAACCCATCGGCTCCCGAACAAAGTCTGGACGCTGGTCCAGAGGCAATTCCGACTCGCAGGGAATCCCCGCGTAGTGTTCCAATCCATGGTGGCGCAGACGGCCTCATCTTTCTCCAACAGACCGGCGGGTGGGTTTGAACCGCTGGCCTTGCTCGTTGCAGTCCCGGAGCAGACCTGACCGAGCCACCTGACCGGAACCCTGTGCAATGTCAACTCATTCTGACCCTACAGGGCAGAGAACCGCCCCTGTGGGTTCGCGAGGCTGTGGGTCTGCACAGGGGCTGACAGCCTCATCTTTCTCCCTCAGAGTGGCTGGTGGGTCTGAACCGCAGACCTTGACGCCAACGGCCCAGCGCTTAACACGCTGCGGCACTGGAAGAGATGCTAAACGCTCACACCAGGGGCTTAAGTGGAGAGCAAATGTTTTGAGGATGAAGAGGGCAATGAATGTACAAATGGGCTTTACACAATTGATGTGTGTATGGATTATGATAAGAGTTGTATCAGCCCCTAATAAAATGATTTTAAAAAGAGAGAGAGAGATGCTAAGTGCTCACTGCCGGGCTGTGTACCATCCTCGCAATTGTTCTTGTGTGATGTCGGTCTCCAGGGCCTGGTCTCTCTTCTGACAACATGTCCAAAGTAGGTAAGACAAAGTCTTGCCATCCTTGCCTCTTAGGAGCACTCTGGCTGTGTGTCTTCAGAAGCAGGTTGTTTGTCCTTGCGGCAGTCCACAGCACTTTCCATATCTCTGCCAGCACCACAGTTCAAATGCACGATGGGTTGTTCACCCTTCCTTCTTCAACGTCCACGTCTCCTATGCCCACGAGGCGATGGAACATACCGTGGCTTGGGAAACTGGAACCCCAAATTCAGAGTAGTTGCTGCATCTAAAGCCCCAAAGCTCACTGGCCCTCAAGGCGATTTCCGACTCCTGACTACCCTACAGGACCGAGTCCAGCAGCCCTGTGGGTTTCATGTCTGTAAGTCTGTAGGGTATCAGACAGCCTTCTCTCTCCCCCCAGTGTCCCTGGGCTGGCGGGTCAAACTGCTGACTTGGTGGTTAGCTGTGGGAGCCGAATTCCCCAGCGCCAAGCTGGCGAGGAAGCACATTTGTTGTTTTGTCAGCAGGGAGACAGACCCACCGCGACCAGGGGTGGGTTTGGATGGAGTTCCTCGTGTGCGCAGAGCGAGCAGTCTAAATAGGGTCACCCCGCTGCCCCTCCCGGAGCATGGCAAGCCAACGTGGGGGAAAGGAGGAAGCTCGTACTTTTCCAGGTGTTTTTTTCCACACTCAAGCCCTGTTGGAAGGTAGAACTAAGAGCCGCCTTTACATTTACGGTACCCCAGGGCAATGACCCCAAGGTAGGTCTTTCGAACTCACCAGCTGCTTCCCAGGAGAAAAACTGGGGTTTCTACCCCCTGACAGAGTTAAGGTGTTGGGCCAATTCTAACCTGTCCTCCGGGCTCACCATGCGGCAGAATCGATTCTATGGCAGTGGATTTAGTGGGGTGTTTTGTTTTTTTTTGGGGGGGGGCGGGAAGCGATGTCCTGGAACCCTAGTGAGGCAGTGGGTCACCATCAGCTACTAACGGCAAGGTCGGTAGTTTGAACCCACCAGCCGCCCCTGGGGAGAAGGAGGTTTTCAGGTCCGGTAGTCAGTCTCAGAAAGCCTCAGGGGCAGTTCCACCCTGAACGATAGGGTCAATGCGGGTCAGAATCACTGGGTGGTGTACCTGACCTTGGGCAATGCAGACAGTCCACAGCTAGGCTGGAGTGAGGGCCAGGCCTCTGGTCTGCGGTGTGAGGTGGTGGTGGTGGTGGGGGGGCTGGAGGGACTTCGCTGGGTCGAAGCTGGATAGTAGCTACAACTTCCAAGGTTTTCTTCTGCAGAGGGGTGTGTGTGGGGTGGGGGTCAGGGACTCCGAATCCTCACCAAGGCACGTCCTTTGGAACTCATCTATTTTATCTTGATGATTAAAGCTAACGCTGTGCTCACCATGCGGCCAGCAGGGCTCCAAGGGCCTCTCAGAATGTAATAGAATTCTCAGGCATGAACCCACTGCCAATTCACAGAGACCCCATAAGGGAGGAAATGATAGGGCAGAGAACTTCTTGGTGGGTTTCTGAAGCTGTAGAGTGATGGAGGTGGGTAGGGGGTGGGGGTGGGGTGTTCAAACAGCTGACATGTGAGTTAGCAGCCCTTTGTATGACTGGAGCAGCTGGTGGGTTTAAACCAAGGATCTTGTTGTTGTTGGCAGGTGAGAGCTTAACCCACAGCGCCACCAGGGCTCCTCAGGAGCTCGGTAACCCACTGCCATCAAAGGTGCTTCTGACTGGCAGCGACCTTAACAGGTAGAACTGTAGGACAGAGAAGTGCACCGTGGGTTTCTGAAGCGGTAAACCTTCCCGGGAGCAGACTACCTCGTCTTTCTCCCTCAGAGCGACTGGCGGCTTTGAACAGCTGACCTGGGCGTTAGTGGTCCAATTTGGAGTCCATCTAGAGACAGACAGCCTCATCTTTCTTCCTTGGAAGTTCAAGGGAAGTCCAAAAGTATTGCTGCCGGGGTCCCAGGTCAACTTGCATGGGTTTAACCCCAACAGAACGACTTGACCAGGTCTCGGACTTTAGTGCCCGGCCGCAGACGAAGCTTTCTCAGTCAGACGCTTGTCATCTCCTTGAGGGGAGGGGGACCTTACAAAATTTAAAAAGTGGGGATGAACAACAGAAACGTGGGTGAAGGGAGACAGCAGTTGGTGTAGGACATGAAGACCATAATCATTTATAAGTTATCAAGGTGGGCGGGATGAGGAGCTGACCCCCAGGGCTCAAATAGAAAATAAATGTTTTGAAAATGATGATGGCAACCTCGGTACAAATATGCTCAAAACAATTGATGGGACTATTATAAGAGCTGTAAAAAAAAAAAAAAAAAAGGCTGGAAGAGC